TAAAAATTGCTGTTGACAGAATATAAAGTGTAGGATGGGCTGGGCATAGTGGCAACCAGGGCGAGTCATTCTGCCAGGCTTGGGAACTCTGCTACTCAGGAAACTTTTCTCATCACCGACCAAAATCCTGTCCCAGATGGGAGAAGCAGTGAGTGCTGTGCCTAGGCTCCCTGCCTTCCCAGTGCTCCCAGCATCACACCAGCTCCTCCCCAGTTGCTATGGGGTCCCGACTCTCCATGTTCACCATATTCCCAAAATTGGCTTCCCATCTTCACTGCCCACCAAGCATCATCCCAGGCCCTCCAGGGTCACTGCCTGACCAGTTGGGGGTTGGGTGAAGAGGCAGAGATCAAGACAAGATACCTGGTCCAGTTTGACTTTAGGTTCCTCTCTGAAACGTGACTGCATTCCACATCCTCTTCCTCTGGCATCCTCAGCTGGGAGGATGTGTAGGACTGTGTAGAATCTTGGCGGGTGATGACCAGTTCCTGCAACCATGGCTTTTCAGCTACATTGATTTTTCCTAAAATGGACAAACAGACTGGCAACAAGTTATGGAAATACTGTTTACCTTACTAACAATAGAGATGTGTACATGTATCAATGATGGTTTTTAAAACAAATATAAGCCCATAGGCACTCTACTGAAAGCAGATTCTATCTCAAAATAACACACGTTCAAGATATTCCAATACCCACACATATAGATTGTTTTCCTTTTTATCTCTGCACGACATTACACAGAATGACTGCATCACAACAAATGTAACCAGTGTCTGTGTGTGAAGATCCAGATGGTCTGCAGTCAGTTACTTTTACAGAAACGAAATGCTGCAGAAACTGTGTTTCCATGAATCTCAATTTAATTGTGTAGAATAAATTTCCAGACACAGAATTTCTGTGCAAATTAATGCACTTTTAAAGCGTCTCATGTCACGGGATGGCAATGTTGGCGACACTCTTGTCTGTGATTGTGAAGACCCAGCTTGGGCAGAGGAGGGTGAAACAACCACTATAAAGGGAGGGGAAACTGAAGGACAGGGTGACAGGTTTCATCAAGAGTAAAAAATATCCAAGTCTGAATTAAGAATATCTATACATATGCATTTGAAATGGCATAAAGACTCCCTGGAAAGATTCAAAGAATCCAATATTGTCTTATTCCAGGCTGTGGCCAACGAGAGTGGACCCAAACAGGGGCGGGGGAGCCTTTCACACATGACTTTTCATGGTTTCGATCCTGAAACAGGTGAAAATATGTAGGTGAAGTAAGAAAGAGCATTGGGAGGCCAAGGTGGGAGGATTGCTCAAGGCCAGGATTTGAAGACCATCCTGGGCAACATAGGAAGACTCTATCTCTACCTAAAATAAAAGAATTTGCTGGGCCTAGTGGCATGTGCCTGTAGTCCCAGCTATTCTAGAGGCTGAATCTAGAGGATCACTTGAGCCCAGAATTTGGAGATTACAGTTAGTGATGAGTATGCCGCTTCACTCCAATATGGTTGACAGAATGAGGAACTGTAAAAAGCCATAAAAATAAAAAGAATTATAACAATTCTTGGTCAGCAACACACTAAACAGCTTGTAGAATGGGGAAAACTATTTGCAAAGTATGCATCTGACAAAGGTCCAATATCCAGAATCTACAAGGAACTTAAACAATTCAACAAGCAAGAAGAAAAAACCCAATTAAAATTGGGCAAAGACATGAATGGATACTTTTCAAAAGAAGACCTACAATTGGCCAACAAACACGAAAAAATGCTTAATATCACTAATCATCAGATAAGTGCAAATCAAAACCGCAATGAGTTACCATCTCTAACCAGTCACAAAGTCAGAGATGGTGGTGAGGCTGCAGAGAAAAGGAAACAGACATTGTTGGTGGGAAAGCAAATGTGTTCAGCTGCTATGGAAAGCAGTTTGGAGATTTCTCCAAGAACTTAAAATGGAAAGGATCCCTGAGCTCTGAAGTCCAGCATGCTATTTTACTAGCGATACTGTTTGGAAGAATAAGGTCATGCTTCAGAGAAGTGTCTGCTTTTCCACAATCAAAGAAGTAGAAAGAAAATGCGTTTTGCTGGCATTTCTTGTTCAGTTAAAACTTGTGCAGGAATTCCATCCATTAGCACTGAGAGAAAGTGGCAGAAGACGTTAAGAAAAATGGCTGCTAGGATCATCAGCAAAGGTAATGAGTGGCATGAGATGCTGAGTCTACAACGTCCTCATCATCTCCTGGGGGCCTGTGGGCTTGCTAAGGCTTGCACTCCTGCTTTCCAGAAAGGCACAGTGGTGAGTAGACAGGCGACCTCCCTGAAGGGAGAGCGGGAACCAGAACAGGCTAACAGAGGCTTCTTGATATCATCTTCCACCTTCAGAAAAGATGAAGTGTTGGTTTAAGTGGCTGAGAAAAACCTGGGTCTGTTCTCCTGGGTGATCCCTCCCAGGCCCTCCCCATTTCGGAGCCTCTCCCCCAAATAAGGAACATGTTTTTCCCTCCAAACCTACCCTTGGCTCTGCAGCCTGTCCCAACCTCCACCCTCCTTCACCACACCACAGAGCCAGCCCAGGTCCTGTTACAGCGCATGAGGGCTCAAAATTGAGGCTGGTAATGAGGGTTGTGCACCCCCAGGGAGGGCCTGCTACCCCTTCTCACGGAAGGGTCTAGAGGACCTGGGGGAGCCCTGTCCAAAGAGAGGTCTTTGTTTCCGTGTTCACTGGCCTTGGGTGGGCTTGCAGGCAAACCTCCTTCTTTCCCCTTTGCTCTCAACCTCTCCTCTCCCTGGGAGCTGCACCCATAGCTTTGAATGGGACTGCCCCTGCCCCACCCCATTCATTCCTAACCAAGTTCAGTGGTGGGCATGGAACTCCAGCAGCAGCTCAGCTGCCCTGCCCGAGTCCACTCTGCTCCAGGCAGGGCCATCAGCTGGCTCAGGATCTGGAGTGTGCAGGAGGCAGAATGGCAGGGGCATCGCCCCAGGACCCGGCCAGGAATCCCATGGGTCCAACGGGCCTGGCCTTTTCTTGAACCTCAGTCCGGACACGCTCCACTCTTCACCTTCTACCTTAACTGCTGGGACCTGAGCTGCTTTCTCTGGGAATGCAGCCTTTGGAATTGGGTGGGCCAAGGCCCTCACAGCCCCCTCGTCCTGGGATTCTCCCAGATCACTCTCTTTGTAGCCTTCTCCAGGGACACCCTTTCTCATGACATCCTAAGTGAAGTGGTCATGCTGCTCCTCTCCTACTGTGCAGACTGCCCACGCCTGAGTTCCTGCTGCCTGCAGGCCACATACCGCTACCCTTCCCAAATAGGAACCTGCTCTGAAACAGGCCTGAACTGGCTGAACTCTCTCAAGCTCAATACGCCTTAAGCCTTGGTATGGGCCCCTCCCTTTCCCTCTGGCCTCTGACAGTGAGAATCCATCAGAACTCAAGGTTGAGCTGCCCAGGTCATTGCCAACAGGCAACACCAGGTCTCATTCATCTGTCTCATGTCAGGATGAGAAGTTCCCGGCCTCCGGGACTCTGGGAATTCTCCTTCCACGTCCTCCCATCTCACCCATCTGCCCCTTGCTTCCCTCCCAATATTGTCCACAGTACCTGTCACTCTAAACAACTCTCCTCGGCTGCCAGCTAGAATGAAGCAGAGCAGGATGATAAGGAGGCTCCAGGGAATGAGGGTGGTGGCCATGGCTTTGGGGTGGGTTGTGCCTTGGGCCAGAGAAGGTGGTTCTGAAATGGAAACACAGGAGTGACAACCCTTGTCGAGGCCGCAAATCTTAGGGGATGCCTCCTCAGCTCCTGCCACCCCAGGTCATCCTGGAAGGCAGAGCTTTTGCCCCCCTCTGCTGTGGGGCAACCTCTGGGACAGGTCCTGGGGTAGGAAGGGAGAGGGGGTGTCCCCTGTCCTCAGGGAGCTCACACAGCTGCTGAGGGAAGCAAGGTGACAATACAGCCCACCCTCCTGCCATGGAGAAAGAGGAGGCGATGTCCCAGGACCAAAGAGGGGAGGGTCTTGGGCCCTGGCATTGGAGGTGATTTTGATGGATTTATAGAAACAGATGAGGGGAGAGGAAAGAAACGGCAATTCTAGGAGGAAGGAACACTAATGAAAAAGATATGGAAACACTATGACACCCACAGATTTGAGGTTGGTGAGAAATGCACCGTGGGTGGAGCACAAGCAAGTACAGGGAGGAAGAGGAGTCAGGAGGAAGAAGGCAGAGGAGGATGAGATAGCACAGGCATGCCAGCACCCCCAGGAGGAGCCCCCCATGAGGGGGTCATGTTCACACTCACTCAAACACTCACACATATGCAGTCACACACTCAGACACCAGACTGATAAGATCTGAACTCAAGACAGCTTCTTTTTTCCCCCTCTCACTTACTTGTTGGATCCAGCATTTGTTCCCAGTACATCAAAAATTCTTCAAGCCATGTCTTACAATCCCCTATTGAAATCTTCTGGAAGAAGATGGTCACATCCCTGTTCTTCTCCCATTTCTCTTTCACCTTCTTGGCTCCAGGATGGAGTGCTGTCCACTTTCTGTTGTTTGAGTCAAAGAGGAGGAACGTCTGTCCATTGAAGAGGAACTGCCAAGATCCTCTGCCGTGTCCATGGGCTTCGTGCTCACAAGACATCCGGGCCTGCAGAATGAGGGGCTCTGCCCCATTGGAAAGAGATCAGCTCTGATCTTGATAAGTCCTGAGCCCCACCCTTTCCTGGCTCCTGGACTTGCTCTCTCTGCTGCATCCTGCCCATGCTTCTCAGCCTCTTGTGTGACACAAACTTCTGATTTATTTTTTACATGAAACCAATAAATGCCTCTAAGTTACTACTGTGTCTGCTCCCCGGGCCATTTTAAACTTACCAATGGGCATTAAATTCTCCACTTGAATGTCAGGCAGTTGCCCTTTGAGGAAATCCACCACGTCTCTTAAGGTTTCAGTCTGTTCTTCCCAGGTTTTTGTGACATTGACTTTCTTCCCCAGAGAAGCAGAGGCTTTGGCCTTGTGGTTAACACAGTCATAGTGAAGAAAAGGCCTTTCATCCACCAGGCCTTGAACTTCACACCATCGTGGTTCAGGTCTGAACTTAGGAGTGATGATGAAGTCATAGGAAAGACAGTGTTTGACTGGGGAAGAAAAACACAGGAGGGGGTTGGTGTGGTGCGAAGTGGAACTTAAATCCCCTCCTCCCCCTTATAGTGACTGCAAGTAAATACCTCTGAGGAGCTGGGCTGGCAGAGCAAGATGTGCCAGCCAGGACTGCCATGAAAACTAGCTAATGACTAGACCGTCTCCCTTGCTTGAATACATGGAAGAGAAGGTTCCTGCAGCCGTGAAACCACATGGCCCCTCCAGACATGTCCCACATGCTCCGTGCCCACATCGGTCAGCACATGACCTTGTTGTGGATGTGCCAGGCCTGTTGTGGCAGGAAAAGGCCTGGATGAGGAGGACCCTCAGCAGCAGTCTGTGTGGACTGCAGGAGGCGGGAGAGGGTGTGGGAGCTGCCCTTGGATGCTCCAGCACAGTGTGGGGGTGGGGAGGGCAGAATTCAGTTTTGATAAGCAAGTGATTATTGTCACGGGTCACAGGATTTAATACGTTGGCAAAGTCCCGACGAAGTCGCCCATCTGCTATGAGCATGAATTCCTGGAACCTTGGAAAGGGATGGTTCACAGGGCAAGAAGTGGAAAATCCAGAACTTCTAAGTCAGGGTATAGAGGAAAGAACCAAAAGGCTCAGAGAAGCGCCCATGCCAGAGTGACTGCAGTATGAAAACCCAGAACGATGTCCATCCTCTGGGCTCATGGGATGCCTGGAGGACTCCTGTGTACTCAGCATATAAAGAAGGCCCTGGGATAAGGCAGCAGACTGTCAAGAAGCCCAGGGATGCCTGTTGCTGAAGACTGGGATTGGGGATAGGAAATGCTGTTCCTGAAATGGGCTCCCCAGTAGTAATGGTGATGGAAAATCCTGAAATAAGAGATCTCAATTGGAGGCCGTCAACTGTCAGGAGGAAGGAGGGTGCAATGATGGAAATAATTAAAGAAGTCACAATGCCAGCTGGGGACCTCAGCCATACAAATGTATGCCTATGGCTCATAGAACAAAGGAGTCAAAGATCCAAAAGAAATGCAAACTCAACCTGAATACTGCTAGAGTTAAATAATTACAGCAAACAAAGACAAAACGCAAGGATAGATGACCTGGAGGCTGAAAGGAGTCACCCCAGGAAATAACTGAGCTCCTTTGCCCAGCTTTGAGAACGGAGTCACATCTCAGACCCAGAGTCCATTACTAAAAGGAGAGTCCAGAGGCCCTGGTGGGCTCCTTCAACCCCACAGCAACTGCAATGACTCCTTCAGACTCCCTCACAGAGCCAGATAGGGCATTCGCTCTGGTAAGTGTACACCATGAAACAGCAAATACCCAGACACTCCTAGTAAACACAGTGTGTGGTCTGACCTCCTCGCAGGGACCAGAAGCATTAACTTGCTCCCCTATTACTCATGAGGTGCATTTAGGGCAAAGTAACAGACGGACACCTGTGTCAGGTCCAGCTTAGAGGGATGTGCTGGGTTCCTAGACCCATTCAATGGTAATTTCACATTTCCTGGATTCGTACTGGGAATGGATAGTGTTTGTAGTTAATGTAGTAACTATTATAGGTTGTGCTGGTCATATGACCTTCCCTGTCACTATTCAACTCTGCTCTTGTAGCTGGGATGCAACCATACACACTCTGTGATGAGGGGTGTCGCTGAACCTACCAATATGGCTATATGACCCTGGAGTCCCTAAGATCCCAGAGGCATGTGTGGTTAGAAAAGGTGCTATGTGGATTTCATGGCAATTGCCAACTGCAGAATCACAACAGGGTCCCCTATTGCTCAGAAGCATGGCTGTGCCACTCACAGCAGTGAAATCCCCTCACTTAAAAGTGCCTCCAGGTGTGGTTCTGGGCCCTGGTGGAGATGGGCCTCCAGCTATGGGAGGGCAGTGACCACACAGCCTCAGAGCTGCCCATCACAGGGTGTGCTCCTCACCCTTTAGGTCATTAGGAAGATAGGCCCAGCAGTGAGAAGACAGAGGTGGGTCTCGAGATGGGCAGGAGCAGGGCCACAGAGAACCAAGAAGCTGCACAAGCAGTTGGCCCTGATTCCCAGGACACCACATGGGTGTACCCCTCACCCTCAGCTCACACCTGAGGCTTCAGGGAGGGTCCCTGATCACCCTGAGGGACTGATGATGCCACTCAGCAGCAAAGGAGGGGAGCAGTAGGCCTGGAACCATAGAACCTCCATTCACATCCATCACATCCACACCACCCAGAAGCCACAGGCAGGGTAGGACACACCTGTGACCCTTCAACTTACATTACTTGGAGATGACACCCTGGTGGATGGGGCAGCAATTGCCAGGACACAGCATGTACCCTCATCTGGGGTCAGCAACCTAGGATGGTGTCCACATCTGGTCTCCCTTTTATTTGCAGGTTGCCGTTGCCTGCTATTGCTGTACAAAGGGACAGCACTTGACACACAGAGTACCCATGGCCAGCAAGAACCAAAGTGCCTTCAGCCTTTCCTTTTTAGAAAGGGTTTGCTGACTCCTGTCTGTGTAGTGACTGTTCTATATAACTCTATCTTCCTGGTAGGAAGACCAGTTGGGTCTGGGATCCAAGGGAAGTAGTGGGCGCCTCTACTCACCAGGGCTCCCAGGGTCATCCTGAGGGAAATGGTCCTTTCCATCCCCCCTGCACTAAGTTCTGTGGAAAGCGTGGGGTGTGTTTGCTGGGGTATGTTCTCAGGCAAAAGGGGAGAAGGTGCTAGTTGCTGGGGGAGGTGCTAAGGGCTCCTTCATGGATGGGGAGGTGAGGGAGGCCTGTGTGGTGACTGGGGTGAGCTGAGACGGAGAGTGAAAGGATGCGACCTGGGTGGTGAAAGTGAATGGTGAGGGGAGGGGTAGGAAGTGTCTGGTGAGCCCCTGGGTGCAGGTGAGTGTCTGCAGCAAAGTGTAGGGGGAAGTTCCAGGGCAGGAAGCCCTGGAGGTGCTGGAAGGTTTGTGTGGTGAAGAGCAGGTCAGAGCAGAGC